AATCTCAGACGCTATCAAAGCTAGAGCAAACAAATTTTTTACTCCTACTCCTATAAGTACTTCAAATTTTCACCCTACCCCCTTCCGCCCACACAAAGAACGAACATCTGTGGCATACACAATTTTGAAGATACAAAAATAACCAAAACACAGAATCGTAGAGAACAACCATATCAACATTGGCGAATCTGGATCAGATCGGATCATTAGCATAGCAAGAAGGAACAAATGAAATTTCAGCGGCTACGAAAGCGTAGCCACACGCTTAATCATTCCCTCTCTATCACACACACTCTACCCTGTTCAGTGTGCATTGTCTGCCGGAAGGGAGCGAAATAAAACGACTGGTGTGGGTGTGTTAATAGGAAAAAGGAATGTAACGAAAAATGGAAACAGATCAAATCTAGTATATAATAAACGAGGGGGAACGTTGTGAGTTGCTGCGGAGACCGCAACTCTACATTTATACCCGATACTAAGTCAGTATGGCTCTCCTCCGGCAGACGCCGCTAATATTGAACGACACGACAAAGAGTGCGTGCGAGAGAGACAGAAAATCAGTCTGAGCGTGACGTCGGGCGATGTGTTTTTAGTTTTCTCGAATCTGCAATATTGTGGATGCAACAGATTTTCGTCCTTTGAAATTTTGAGATATACGTTTTATAGTGAGATCCAAAAGAAGTGCGGATACCAAATTTGGTTACTCTAGCCTTAATAGTCTCTGAGATTTGTGGATGCCCCAGATTTTCGTCCTTTGCGGGGGCGGAAGGGGGTGTGGCGAAATTTGGACACGAAACAGTCAAGGTCCGATATCACAGGTGTGTGGATACAAAATTTGGTTTCTCTGGCTCTTTTATGTTCTGAGATCCTTGAACTCATATTTTTCAATTGGCAAAATCGACCACGAAACCTGTGTGTTAGAGAGAGACAGAGCGAGAAAGAACGAAATTTTTTTCTTGATTTTGGCTATAATAACTATACGATCTGGTTTAGATTTGGCACTCTAGATGATCTAGCCATCCTCTACTATTCTGCGTTTTCAGTTTTCCCGTATCGTCGAAATTGTGAATGCCACAGATTTTCTCTCTTTGTGGGGGCGGAACGGGGTGGGGCAAAGTTCTGAAATAATCTTGAAACAGTGACATATCACAGAAGGCTGGTTATAAAATGTCGTGGCTCTAGCTCTCATAGTCTTAGAGCACTAGGCGCTGATAGGGACGGACAGACAGACATGGCTGAATCGACTCGGCTATTGATGCTGATCAATAATATACATATGTATATACTTTATGAGGTCGGAAACGATTCCTTCTGGACGTTACACACATCCACTTTTACCACAAATCTAATATACCCCAATACTCATTTTGAGTATCGGGTATAAAAAATCTCTTAAACGCTTGGGCCCTTGGTACGTATACTGATTAAGTGGAGACCATAAGTAAAAGGCAGGCAGTGAGTGATCAAAATATATAAATGTATGTACATATAAGGCATGAATTACTAAATATAATCATTTTGGCTTTTCTAATGAAGTTCGCGATAATTTAATTTTTGTTGGCGAATCCTGATTTTTTTGGCAGCTGTGTGTACAATGTACATATACATGTAGTTAGATACGAGTATGTACATAACCATGTAGATATTTATATACATACATGTGTAGATATGTACATGTCATATGGTCGATCGTAGTGCAAGGGTATGCAAGGCCTCAGGGCCCAAAGCAAGTCGAATTTACTTACATGTGATCGGCAACGGTGGACAGAAAATTTGTTGCGCTTGTTTCATACGACTGCATTAATGCTGGACAAAGGTCTTCTGGTTATGACAACTTTAGCTATGTATAGTATGTATGTATGTACATATGTATGTATGTTAATATATATGCACACACATAAACCCAGTTTTATAATATGGAAATGCCATAGAAGTGGGCTGTTTTGGTTCGGCCCCTGTTGGCGTGACTGTGGCAAAGTCCCCACCATGCTGTGTAACGGTATGTCTGCTCATGTATCGTGATAAGTTTTTGGGAATGCGATTGCGATTGTCTGTCAGCGTTGCTTGCGGAACGCAAGCCAGCCTGGATTGGATTAACACCGAAACCGCCTAGTCAGCTATTTCTGTTCTTGCTTAATTGAGAAGTACATACGAGTACGCATTTACAGTGAAAGTGTGGCGGCGCGGCACGGAATCTCCGAGCTAATTCGCGAAGGGGCCCAGGCTCTATGGCTTTATTTGTTTGCTTATCTTAGTCTCTCAATGAAATTTGTTCTGCGATTGTTTGTTTTCGTTACTACTGTGCACCCGTGGAGAAGAAATGTATCCTATACTCGTTTTTTACACCAACTTGCTTAACCGGGATCGATTAGATCAATTAGAAAGAAAACCATCTTTGTTTATTTGAAAACTATTAAGTCAGGTGCTTCTGTAGACAATATAAAAGGCGGAACATCAAAGAAGGGGTTTTTGGTAGATACATACATATGTACATACATACATACATATGCGCATATGGGCATATCCAAGATGTCGAACGGGACAATCGTACACATTGCCAGTGGCAGAAAGATCAATATATATCAATAATTATGTTCAATATGTTAGATAGAATTGAAAGAAAAAATTGTATCCAAAAAATACCACAAAAACGAAGGGGAACGTTGTGAGTTGCTGCGGACACCGCAACTCTACATTTATACCCGATACTTAGTCAGTATGGCTCTCCTCCGGCAGACGCCGCTAATATTGAACGACACGACAAAGAGTGCGTGCGAGAGAGACAGAAAATCAGTCTGAGCGTGACGTCGGGCGCTGCGTAGCCACTGCAAATTGATTTGTTTCTTTTGGCTATAAAAATTATCCAATCTGATCCAGATTCAGCAATCTCATAGATATGGTCATTCTCTACGTTTTTGCGATTTTGGTTTTCTCGTATTTTTAAAATTGTGGATGCCACAGATTTTCGTCCTTTGTGGGGGCAGGGCGAAGTCTTGAAATATTCTTGTAGCAGTGACATATCACTGAAGTCTGGATCCAAAACATCGTTGCTCTAGCTCTTATTGTCTTTGAGCACTAGGCGCTAATAGGGACGGACAGACGGACGGACGGACAGACGGGCGGACGGACAGACGGACAGACACACAGGGCTCAATAGATTCGGCTATTGATGCTGATCAAGAATATATATACTTTATGGGGTCGGAAACGATTCCTTCTGGACGTTACAGACATCCATTTTCACCACAAATCTAATATACCGCAATACTCATATTGAGTATCGGGTATAATAAATTATTATATGCGTTGGTATATATTTTGTGCTGTGTCAAAGTTGCACGTATTAGTAAGTTAGTAGTAATGGTTTGGTATGTTGTTGATAACTTTAAAATATAATTGGTTTGTATTATCCAATTTTTTTTTTTGCGCATACTTACATATATACCGTCGAACTCAATAAAATGTTCTTACACAAAAACACACCGTCCGTAACGGCTGTGATTATCGTGATGCAGATAAAAACTACTTATGCATGAGAGCGATGCTATCCTAAGATATTTCTCTCTATCATGGCCAGGGGACAAAGAAAACCAGAATAACCAACAACTGACGAGAGAGAGAGATGGAGTGAGATCACACTTTTAGAAAAGAGAGCTAGTACATATCATATACTATATGTGCATGCATATGCATGTACATAGGGCTAGAAAACATTTATTTTCATTAAATATTTCCACGTCGGGGGTAAACAAATTTTGGCTTCATTCGATTGCAATCGTGATTTCTTATCAGAAAACAGCCTGAACTTATTGCGTTGTGACGCTAGCGACAGACCGCTACAGTGGCAGCAGAAGAGAGGCAGAAGCGTAAACAACAATACACAAACAGCTGCGTCGACACACACACACACACTCATGCGCACTACAGCTGTTAGTTTGTCTTTTGGTGGCTTGTGTGAGAATTGCTGGTTGTGTTCTATGTATGCAACAAACATAAACTGCGAAAATCCTTTCTCTTGGCCTCTGCCCCCCCCCCCCCCCCCCCCCCCCCCCTGCATTCTTGTGGCAGAATGGGTAGAAACAAAGTCAGCTGTGTGGAAGAAACGCAATACCAATGGCAGGTGAGAGACAAAGATAGAAATGGAGCATTTTCGCGACCCGCTCTCTCCTGCTCAAACTGAAGTTTTGCTGTCGAAAGGCGCAATTTGTTTAACAGTGGGCATACGCACGCACATGGAAAACAGCTATCTATACATACAAACAAACAAACATGTCTTGTTTTTGCTAATGCGCTGCGCTGCTTGCAACGAGGGGAGCGGGTAAAATAGAGGCATAACAACTGAATTTGGCAGAAAAATTATGTTAAAACCACTTACGTTTTGCCTGTTGTTTTTGTTTGCAAGAACAATGCACAGCCACACACACCACCATATACCGAGTACAAAAAAAAGAGACAGCAACGACGACGACCCACTGGAAAAGGCACTTTGTCCGTGGTACCCGTTTCTTCACTTGTATAATGCAGCAGAAGTTTGCATTGTTTCTATTTCACATTTGTTTGCGCTGCGCTCATATTCTGCCTTTAACAGCACCTGTTCTCTAACAGCGCACTCGCTGTGCACTTGCACCTAACAGAACAAATTGCGTCTCCAGAGTTTATTTTGGGTCCCAACTGTCATGGGATTCGCGGTTACCTTCCGTATATGCAACTGTCACACAGTACTGTATACTGTACACTTAAGCTATTTATTTAAATAACTTTACAACGCTATGTGATGCTTTTGGCTTACGTACTGCCTCTAACAGCACATCATTCTGTGCGCCCAACAGCACCAGTTCGCTAACAGCGCTCGAAGCGCATTTGTGAAAACCTCCAGGCACTTATATGCAACAAGCACTGAATTATCTGTGGAATGGATTTTAATGAAATATACGTGACTTTGTCACATCAAATTTTATAACTAACAAATCTTCTACCACCTTTTTTCCGTTACATTGGTGCTGTGAATGTGACAAAAATAAAGCTGCGAACTTTCACGCACTTACAGCACTGTCCGAGTTCGAGTCAGAGTCATCTGTTCTGTGCCAGTGCTGTCATCGATTGAAAAGCCTTAACATACCATATACGTTCCGTAAGTACGAAGTTCCATACCTAGTTTTATTAAAAACGTTAACAACAACAAATACAATACATACAAATAAGTTAAATTACCTTTAACAACAGTGGTGGTATCTGCCGTTGCCTTTACACCTGTGTGGCCTTCAAGCACTCGCACCTCCATAATAACTCGGTCTGTTTGTTTTACTTTTTTTTTTTTTGCTGCTAGTCAGTCTCTGCCTGATGTTCGGCCCAAACTGATCAAGTTTTCTTTGTCATCATTCTGTTGCAGTATCCGAGCCCGATCCCAATGCTGTGGACCGTGCACCTGGACGGAGGGCCTCAGAGGGTTAACCATGCCGCCGTGGGCGTGGGCGACTTAATCTACAGCTTCGGTGGATACTGCACCGGCTATGACTACCGCTTCAACGAGCAGATCGATGTGCACGTCCTGAACGCACACACTATGCGCTGGACCCTCGTCCCACAGCAGAACGACGAAGAAGGTGTTCCTCTCAAGTATCCGCTGGTCCCCTTCCAGCGGTACGGCCACACCGTGGTGGCCTACAAGGAGCGCATCTACATATGGGGCGGACGGAATGACGAGAACCTTTGCAACGTCCTCTACTGCTTTGACCCGAAGACTGCGAAGTGGACACGGCCCGTGGTTACTGGCTGCTTGCCCGGGGCCCGGGACGGTCACTCGGCATGTGTCATCGGCAACTCCATGTACATATTCGGCGGTTTCGTAGATGAGATAAACGAGTTCAGCAGCGACGTGCACACCCTCAATCTGGACACTATGGAGTGGAGTTATGTACAGACATTTGGTGTTCCCCCCAGCTACCGGGACTTCCATGCCGCTGTGGCCTACGAGGAAGAGCGCATGTACATTTTCGGGGGACGCGGCGATAAGCACAGCCCATACCACAGTCAGGAGGAGACCTATTGCCATGAGATTGTCTTTCTGGACATGAAGACGAAGGTATGGCACCGTCCGTTCACGGCCGGAAAGGTCCCCGTCGGCCGGCGCAGCCATAGCATGTTCGTCTATAACAAACTCATCTACGTCTTTGGCGGCTACAATGGGCTGCTCGACCAGCACTTTAACGATCTGTACACGTTTGATCCCCGCAGTAAACTCTGGAACCTAATACGGGCCAATGGAAAGGGGCCGACGGCCCGCCGCCGTCAATGTGCCATTGTGATAGGCACACAAATGTTCCTCTTTGGCGGCACCAGTCCACGAATCTCCACAAGTACAACGGCGGTGCTGCAGCACGAGCAGCAGGGCGATGCTCCGGCTGCACCTGGAGTTCAAGGCCATGCGGAGGCCCAAGACGCCGGGCCACCGCCGGTATTGCCTCTCATAGATTACAGCGACCTGCATGTGTTAGATTTCGAGCCAACACTGAAGACCCTGGCCACCATGGTGGTGCTGAAGTACCAGTTGGACATCTCCGGACTGCCACGGAGCTTTCGCGCCGACCTGCAGATGCTCACCCAGCCGAACAGTATTAGCCGCCCCATCAACCAGGCCGGGTAGCATCAAACAAGATTCATGGACCGAATGCCACAAAATGCATAAAGGACACATTGAAATTAGTCTTAGCTCACACGGCGGATGCGCTGCGGTCCGGGAAGCGGGTCCCATAACTCCCACAACTAGTCCGCTTTCCACAGCCACACGCACACATATACAGATCGAGCAAGAAATACTGATATGCTGGGAAATCCCGGTAATTCATGAGTTTCCGAAACTTATTTTGGTACTTCCTTTAGATGCTTAAATCTCAATTAACTCAAACAAAATTATGATACTGATAATAACACGAGAGATTTAGTTTGTAAAACATTTATAGAAAGGACCAAATAAAGCTCCTTTAGCTGTACTTGTTCCGAAATGTCCTCTAGCGCTCATTAGCGGTCGTTCCCCAGCTGAAGGATAGCTGAAAGTTGAGCTTTCACAGAAACAATAGAAAAGGTATCAAATAATTTCAGCTTACTTTCACTGTTTTATTATTAAAAGTTCTTGGGGTTATTGCCACTGCCTTACAGTTTGACAACTCTTTACAATCTAACTTAAAAATAAACCTTACATTCTAACTAAAAGTAAGGTCAGAAATAACTGCAGACCGGACCTTCGAGAGCTCATTCAGCAGTCATTCGTCAACCATTACACGGCACTAGTGTAGCCGCGTACCGATAGGTACCGGTTGATGATGTCCGATGGCATGTGCTGCATGGAGGCGTACTCTTCGGCATTGGCAAAACGAAGCTTTGTGTGCGGATCCATATAGGGGGCGGGCAAGCCGCTAATGTCCGAGTACTTTTTGGCCGGTACCAGAGAGGGTGGTGCATTAAGCGTGAAGTCTGGATATTGACACAAACAAACAGACAAGGCGAATTGAGCGTCGAAAGAAATGCATGGTGTTCTTGCTACTTACACGTTGGCCTGTCAACAGGTAGCTTCTGGTTTCGTTCCATATTGCTTATCTGGCGCATTGGGCGGTACACACAGTTCTTTGCGAAGATAAAGGGCTTTTTAAATGAGCGTCTGGTTTTCTGACTCGATTTCGTGTCCATGCTTGAGAGATAAGATGATAGCATTGAATTTAATGGTTGGTGTACATTATAGTGATGTAAAAAAACATCGATGCATCGAGCATCGATGTTTTTCTGCCGATGTTTTCCGATGTTTTTGTTGCTACCGATGTTGAGTGATGCATCGATGTTTTGCAAAACATCGGTAGTTTAATATCATATCATTGCGTATTTGTCTTCTGTAAGCAGCAACACAGCAATACCAAAGTAAGTAAACATATTTGACTTAAAATGAATCAAATTTACTATAGATGGTATACATTTGTTTAAATATGAAACTGCGAACGCCGTTAACATCATTCGAAGGCAACCTGTTTTGTATTTGGGAAGGGTACTGTTCAGTCACAGTTCATATGTTCATATGACGACACGAAAATTACATTAGCAACTAAGAATAGACAATTGCACTTGTAAACTCGAACCCACCAAAAAGGGTGAAGCAATAAACTATTTACTCTATTGCTGCCAAGTACCTAAGTAAATGCACTGAAATGTAACACCCGCACAGAGTAAGTGTACCCTATCTAAAAATACACTCACATGGAGCCTGTGCGTTCCTTCGCATACAATAAGAGTACCACTGCTATCTATATGTATAAGGAGATCCATTTGTTCAATAAAACTCAGTATCAGAAACAGTACCACAACTGCCTGTCACTAATTTTCCCATCGCAATCATCAGAGGCTGTCGCCGTGTCTTCAGATCCTGATTTCGCGGTCATACATCGATGCATCGAAGAATAAATCCGATGTATCAATCCAACATCGATGTTTGATTTTGACAACATCGATGGACATCGACATCGATGTTTTCATTCAAATTTAAATCACTAGTACCACTAACCATACAGTATATAGATGTGCCAGTTCATACAACGAAAGTGTCACACACCGACTTGCGCTATCCGTACCCCAGAGTGACGTCATCATGAGTGAGAGAGCGCAGAGAGAACATACTGTATGGATAGTGCTAGTACATTAAAGAGCTGGGAAGCAAACGATGGCACTATCATTACATCGATGTTTTGGCAATTCAGAAGCATCGATGGGAGTCATCGATGTTTTTACTGATCAAATGTATAATGAAATTAACCATTAATTTTGGGGTAAAAATCTAAAGAACGTACTAAAGAAGTTCGTTCCCTGACTTTTATTCAGTGAACTAAGTCGTTCTTTTAGTTTGTTCGATTTTTTCCCCTCTTTAGGCCATACATCTTGCCACTTCTTGGCCTTTTGTATCGATAACGTGAAGAAAGTGAACTCACCTAGTTGTTAATCCATTCATGTAGAAATGCCACTTGGAGCCATTTCACAACCTGATAACCTATTTCCTGGGATGGTCCCTAAGGTTTTGCAGCTGCGAAAATTTTTCAGTTATTCCACTATCCATCTGGGATATTCCTAATCCGCACTTTTTTATGCGATACTTTGCCGATAGTTTACAAGTGAAACCCTAAAAAGCAATGATTAAAAAAAAGTCCCGCATATAAATACTTGAAATCTTTTTCCAAATTTCAAATCGTAGAAGGCCAAAAAACCATAAAAAAGGAGACTATACAAAATCAAAATCAGAAACTAGTGGTGGTAAATTTAATAATTATATGTACATATGTATTTTTGTATTTATCATATTGGTATTTTACAGCCATTAAAAAAATACACCTAGGTTGAAGGGTAGTGCGGAGCTGGAAAATCGCGTAGGAAAAATTTGGTATGATAATATTGACGATTTGCGGGGTGCCCGAAAGAATTCTTTTGAGGTCGAGCAGGACAGATCTAACTGAAGCCCTATCATTCTTTCTGCGGTCAACGCGCTCCACCAAAACTGGACAGCCTTCTGGAGATTGATGGCGAAATGCTGGAAAGGACTCCCGGAAGGACCAGCAGATATTACAGGAGGAGCACCAGGAAATACTAAAATAAATTGCGAGCAGCAAAGGACAAACCAACGGTATATTTTTTAGCTTTTATTACCCCGGAATTTGGTAACGTAACGCCAGTAACGTACCAGATGCCTCCGCGATTTTTATAAAAAAAAACAACATGAAACCTTCATATACTCAGGCAGGTATTTAACTTTCAACAAAATTTTCTCATATGTATACTTTTGAAAACATATAATTTAGAGCACCCGTTTTCACAAAACGCAATATTTCTCCGTTTTCACATCGGAAACATTTTCCTCGCCGAAATTAAAATTAAACAGCTATTGATCCAACAAAACGAATTTTAATTTCAAAAGAAAAGAATAGGTGACTTTTAGATGCATTAAGATCAATTTTACACCAATACTAGGGAAATTTAGCTTGTCTAATAGCAACGACACTTTTTGTTTTCGTGCTGCAAGCTGACGTAGCTCGATTGGGTTATCGAAACGTTGGCAAGAATTAAATGTTTGCGCATAACAGCATAAGTGTGCGCTTAACAGATCAGATTATGCTCGTAAATATATTAAACTGTGCGCCTAAAAGAACATCTTGGTAAAAACTTTTACTCACAGTTCGGAAAACCGGAACCTACCTGATTATCACAAAAAAAACTATACATGTAGTCCTGACCAATTCGCAGAGTTTTGCAATTCCGACAAAAACTCCAAACGTTACCCTAACATGTGCTCTGTGTCGAATACTAATTCGTGATCAGCCCTTGTCCATCTATCGATAAATCTTAAAGATTTACCTGTTATCCATCGTTGCTGTTATGTTTTCTTGTAATTGGCAACCCTGCGCACAACGCAAAAATACAATGCGCTGTCTAAATAATTTTAACTGTGCAGGAACTAAGTAAAATTTCATAACTCCCAATTACGATCGAAATCAGCAAATAAAATGGCCCGGAATGCTGGCGCTGCCAGGTCCAGTTCAGGCAACTCGGGCCAACCGGCATCTGCAGCAGCGGCAGCGGCGGCAGTAGCAGCAGCTGCCGCAGCCGCCAACTCCAAACAGAAGCGTTGCACCAGGTTCAATTTGTCCTCGAAGGTGATGATGGACAAGTGGAAGACGTTAATCGGTTGCATTTGCCTGGGAATCGCTTCGTACTTTGGCTACGTGGGCTACTTGGAGACGAGGGTGAACACTCCGTTCGATAACCAGAAAATGGTTGTTAACACGGGGCTGGACAATCCAGATCTATACTGGGGATCGTACCGGCCGCTCACCTACTTCGGTATGAAAACACGCGATCCGCACTCCCTGGTAATGGGATTGATGTGGTACACGCCCAGTAGTCTGGGCCATGGTGGCCAGGGAATTCGGCACTGGTGTGAGCAGGGCGACAATCTCGACGGCTACGGGTGGACGCATCACGACGGCCGCAGCTTCGGCGTGCAGGAGATCCAGGACCTACCCTACGAGCTGAAGACCTCCTTTGTCAAGTATCCGGCTGGGAAGCAATATGGTGGCGACTGGACCGCTCGTATCTCGGTGAGGAACACAACTCGGGCCTGGGACAAGAGCATCTCGCTCATTTGGTACGTGGCGCTGGATGAGCGCACCAATGGCCATATCAAGTACGTGTCGGACGAGAAGAGCCCCGAGCCAGGCGTCTATGGCGAGACGCAGGGACTGGGCGAGTTCCAGGTCCGCTTTCATACAATGAAAGGAAAAATTCTGCACAAGTCCTACCTGAGCACGGTGGCGCCGTCGCTGAGTAAGCTGAAAGACACGCTCTTTTCGCATTTCCGAGCATTCGCGGACAAGCGCGGCAACCGCTTCATTGGCCTGCCCGGCGAGATTGTCTTCCAGAACGGTCTGCCCTCGTCCAATCCGGAGCCAAACTTCATAGCCATACAGATCACGGCCGAGGTAGACTTCACCCTCGACATTACCTATCAGTCCACATCGGGATTTACTCTGAGCGAGTCCATACCAAAGCCGCCCACGGGGCGGTCGTACACAGAGTCGCTGCAGGCAAAGATCAGCGAGTTCGACCAGCGATTCGAAGAGAAGTTCCAGCTGAAGAGCCGCGGCTACTCGCTCGAAGAGGTGCGCTTCGCACGCAACGCCCTGAGCAATATGCTAGGTGGCATTGGCTACTTCTACGGCTCTAGTCGTGTGCAGTCGGTCCACACCAAAAACCCAGTGCCCTATTGGAAGGCTCCCTTATACACGGCCGTGCCCTCTCGCAGCTTTTTTCCCCGTGGCTTCCTATGGGACGAGGGCTTCCACGGGCTGCTAATAAGTTCATGGGACATCGATATAGAGCTGGACATCATCTGTCATTGGTTTGATCTGCTCAATGTCGAGGGCTGGATTCCACGTGAGCAAATCCTCGGAGCTGAGGCCATGTCCAAGGTCCCCGAAGAGTTTGTCACACAAAGGAACAGCAATGCCAATCCGCCAACGTTCTTTCTGACGCTACAGAAGCTGCTCACCAGCCACAGGAAGGAGCTCTCTCAAGAGGGTCGCCTGGCCACCCTCGAGCGGCTGTATCCCCGTATCCAGGCGTGGTTCAACTGGTACAACACCACACAAAAAGGTTCGGTTTCCTTCTGCATCTTTCTATCTCTCTCCTTTTCTAATTCGTGCTCTGCACTTCATTTTCGCAGGCGACTTAATGGGATCATATCTGTGGCGTGGTCGAAATACTACCACCCAGCGAGAGCTCAATCCTAAGAGCCTATCCTCCGGCCTGGACGATTATCCACGCGCCTCGCATCCCACCGACCGGGAGCGGCACTTGGATCTGCGCTGCTGGGTGGCGCTGGCCGCCAGCGTGATGGCCGAGCTGTCGACGCTGCTTGGCAAGGACGACGTCAAGTACTATGAGACGGCCTCCTATTTGACGGACAACGAGCAGCTGAACCGTCTGCACCTAGCCCCCTACAGTGAACAGTACGCCGACTGGGGCCTCCACACCGACCAGGTCATGCTGAAGCGTCCACCAGCGATGGCGCCGCAGCGGGGCAGCCACCCGTCGCAACAGCCAGAGATGGTGCGCGTGTCGATGGAACAGCCAACCTACCAGTTTGTGGACACCACATTTGGCTATGTAAATCTATTCCCGCTCCTGCTCGAGCAGCTTAATCACGACTCGCCGTATCTGACCAAAATGCTGCAGGACCTGAGGGATCCACAGCAGCTTTGGACAAAGTTTGGCCTTCGGTCGCTATCGAAGCGCTCCCCGCTGTATATGAAGCGGAACACTGAGCACGATCCGCCGTACTGGCGTGGCCCCATCTGGATCAACATTAACTTTCTGGCTGTGAGGGCCCTGCAGCATTATGGCAAGATAGAGGGCCCCAATGCCGCTCTGGCCCGTGAGATTTACGCGGAACTGCGCGAGAATCTAGTAAGAAATATATTCAGGCAATACCAGAAGAGCGGCTACCTTTGGGAACAGTACGATGACTCCACTGGCGAGGGAAAGGGCTGTAATCCGTTCACCGGCTGGACGGCTACCGTGGTCCTCCTCATGGCCGAGCAGTTCTAACTTGTTTCTACTTTCTTTATCGTTTTCCCCTATCTGCTGTGAGTTCCTCAACCAATGGAGTCCTACAATGGGAGTCCCCAATGATCTACATATAGTATATGTTTTTATGTAGTAACATAGAGTGTGTAATCTTTAGTGTGTCTTCCTGTCCGTCAGTCCTGGTTGCTGTACAAAACGTTTCCCCCTATTGAGGAAATGTCCACGTGCTGGAGAATGTGAGTAAGAAATTCGGACAAAGAAAGGATGGGACAAAGAAGAGAAAAAGGGGCAATTTTTAGCGTTAAATAGATGAATTTTAAAATTATAAACTATTATAAAAGATTCCTTTGGATGTTTTTATTTTGCTGTTGCTGTTTATTTTATTTATTATTAAATTAACAATAATCTGTTAATAATGGTACTAAGTTACTAAAGGCGGAAAAAGATAAGTTAAAAGTTAGCTAAATTTAAATGATTATAAATATTGCATGCAATTAGTTTAAGAGACAGTTCAGGGGATAGGGTTTGACAGAGGGAGTTATAATTATGGCATAAAACCCTAAAAGGTTCATGATCAGCATAATTAGACCTACATATGGGTAGACGGATAGGCCTAAAAGTACGGGTAGGTCTAGATGGAACGGCCAAGTCAATCTGACCCAAGAGAGTTTGGGAGTCAACAGTCCCAAGAAGGAGCTTGTGCACGAACATTACGCCATTGCATATTCTGCGATGGTGCAACGACGGCAGGTCAATAAGATTTAGCCTAGACCGGTAGGGTGGCAAGATTCTACCTGAGTCCCAGTTAAAGTTCCGAAGGGCAAAAATTAAAAATTGCTTTTGCACGGATTCAATAACAGCCTGCTGTTCTTTATACTGCGGGCTCCACACACAAGAACAATACTCCAATATAGGACGTACTAACGAGATGTACAGTTGTTTCGTAACGTACGGGTCGTCAAACTCCTTGGACCAACGCCTGATGAACGCTAAAACACCCTTAGCTTTATTTACAGTTGCAGCTATATGGGTGTTAAAACACATCTTATGATCAAAAAGGACTCCAAGGTCATTTGAAGTCGAAATTCGCTCAAGGACATGATTTCCTAGAACATATGGGACAAAATGAGGAGCGCGACGGTAAAATGTCATAAGTTTGCATTTGGAAAGGTTCAGAAAAAGAAGATTAGTTGAACACCACAATAGTAGTTCACTTAGATCAAGTTGAAGGCGTGTGTGCAAATACCAATCAGAGTAAGAAAGACAGATTTTGACATCATCAGCATACATTAGTGTAGTAGAGTATGTTATAACTTAAGGAAGGTCATTCACAAATAAAATGAACAGAAGCGGGCCCAGATGACTTCCCTGTGGCACACCTGAAGTAACATTTACAGTATTTGACAACACGTTAGAAAACAAATATCAGCAAGTGAGCAAGTGAGAAATAAAGCTTGTGTCCAATCCATAACCAAAAGAGGCTTCCATCGGATGGCGCTTTACATGGCGCCCATATAAATTAACTTATACTTTTACGAGCCCCTTCTATTTGTGGGTATTCTGAGAGACATGATTAAGGAACGTGTCATAACAAGCGTATGATTAACGCTGGGGGAAATGGATTCAGAAGTAAGCGTTACCGACCTCATAAGTACATACTTGATCAGCATCAATAGCAGATTCGATTGCTAGAGCAACCAAATGTTGTGTGCCTGTGTTTCCTGTGATATCGCACTGAATGGAGTTTGTTTCCAAATTTTGCGACGCCCCCTTCTGCCCCACAAGGAAGCAAAAACTGTGGCATCCACAACATTGAAGACAAAAGAAAATGCAGAACCCCAGAGAAGGACCATATCTAGCAGATTGTGGAATCTGGTTCGGATCGAATCATTAATATATCGAATATAGCCAGAAGCAACAAATGAAAGTGCAGTGGCCTCGCTACGCCCTCCACGCGCTTACTCATTCCCTCTCTCTCTCTCTCTCACACACTCTTCATCGTGCAGTGTGCGCTATTCACGAAGAGGAGCGAGTTAAAACGACCGGTGTTGTGATAATAGAGAACAAAAGACAGAGTAAAAAAAAGCTCAAAAAAATATATAGCTCATATATAAATTTGCAACGTTCGCATTGGTTCGTTTTATTATCGGACCCATATACGTATGCATGCACTTGTTTCTGTACATACTATGTACATATGTATGTTTTACGGAGTAAAACCACGGATGCAAATCGGTGGTCATAATAGCTGCGACACTTACAAAAAAGCTCCTCTGTTCTCCTCTTGGGTTTTAAAAAGTAAGCCTTTGCCTTTGTCTTTTAGTTTAAAGCATGTAGATTAACCACGGACCACGTCCCATTAAAATGCTTCGATTCATAATTTCTGCACATTTTATTTCCACATGTGATTATTTTTGCCAGTTGGAAATCGGTATTAGCTTTTTTCGTCTGTGGGGAGAGGAGAGGGATCAGGGAAACATGTCACATTAATATACTTATGCATACTATTTACTACTACTACTATGATTATCGTACAATCTTCTTCTTAACTACACATACATACATATATTACACAGACGCATACACAGATTCAATTCATTCACTCGACAGCAACTCGACTGCTGCGCTCGCTACTCCTCCTCGGCTGAGCCAAAAAAATAAGGTTGCAAAAATATACATACATATGTATTTACGTACTCGTATGACATATACGTACATATGTACACGCAGCCATTAGAAATACACACTTAACACAAGACTAATTAGATAATTGTTTAATGCAGCCTGAATTATATTAGGAAAAAAGTATATCAAAATGTTTAAGGTTTTTTTGTTGCTTTTGTTGTCTTTTGGTGTGTATAAAAAAGAGCAACGAAAAATAATTCGAATAATTCTTCTTTGTTCAGAATTGGACTCTAGTTGAACATTGACTTAAGAACATTTCTGCTCGCGAGATTGGATTGGGCTTATCGCTAGTGTTAATTACAATTAATAAGATCTACGTGTTTGCACTTAAGTGAACGTTAACGTGACTGAGTTTTGACGGCTCTTATTGGGGATTGCACTGAACGTAGGAACCTATTTACATGTCTAACAGAAACCGCGAAGAGAAAACAAAAGGCATTGCATCATAATGCAACGGGGGGACCAAGCAGTATCCAAGGTACTCGATCTGCGCAGCGTAAGTGTATAAACTATTTATACATATGCTAGTCCTATGATCATGAAGTACATGGAAGAAAGTCTTCTATGGCCAGAACCAAAGTCAATCTCTGTTAATCTCTCTTCAAAAGTTATCATCGTTGCCGGCAAAGATGTGGGGCAGCAGGAGAAGAAACTCTCGGAGCCAGTCAATCTCTCTGATTTCCGCCTACTCCACCTTCTTTTTGATGCCTGAAGATGCCCGTCTGAAGGCCGGGAGCCGGTCCAAAAGTGCCAGCAGAATGCTGCCCGGCAATCGCTGATGTTGATTGATCAAATCCTCAATGGCTGTGGCAACCTGCCAGATGAAATAATCAGTGGAAATGGAAAAATGGAGTGCCAAGCAAAAGTCTAGCGAAGTCCACTCACCTTGTTCTGTAGGTCCTGCGGAGTGAGGGTCTCATCGTACTCTATCGGTTTGCCCAAATACGTGCGAAACTTCACCGGAAAGCCGCCGTAGATGGGATAGACCGGAATGCGAACCTTGTTGTACAGCCGCATAAAGAAGTTCCGAAAGATGCCTACCTGCCGGAACCCCTCCCGTAGATTTTGCGTAAAGCAGGGTATTATGGGGGCCTTGGCCTCCAGGGCAACCTTTGCGAAGCCCACACGATTGCGCCACAGCAGCTCGTAGTAATGGTCTCCGAACTGGGCCTCGTAGACGCCGCCCGGCGAGATGGCCAGCAGATTGCCATCCCGCAGAATGCTCACACAAGATTGGACGGTGCCGGGACTGACGTGGAAGGCCTCCGATATGGTGCCCCATCCGGGAAGCTTGAACAGGAACCTATCCCCGATCGTGTAGATCAGGCGCTCTCGCTGCAGAAGCATCCGAGAGTTCAGGTAGTACATGTCGATGGGTATCGCTCCATGGTAATAGACAATCAGCGCCGGACCCTCCTGGGGTACGTTCTCCAGACCGATCACCTCGTACCCGTGGTAGATTCTCGCATGGGCATCCCATATGGCGGCCACTATCTTGCGGCCCACGCGCCAGAAGTTGCGATCGGTCTGCACAGCTCGCATGATCACCTGCCTAAAGGGCGAGATACAAGGGGAGACGGGAGTTGTAAGTTGAAGTTGTCATTGAGTAGAGGATTAGAGGACTAGGTGGTTCTGTAGGTGACTCCACTAGGGGTGAGGTGGGTCGGGTCGGCGGCTTGCTCCGATCTCAAATTAATTGCCAAAAACTGATAATTATATTTAAATTTAATTTTTTCTTTCGCTGTGACCAGGTGTTATCAGCATAAAACAGACAGACCTGTCCTCAAAAACTTATAAATCAATTTGCATACAGACATAAATTTATATATACATGTATGTACATATGTAGGGGGGCCCCGTTTATAGGAATGCAGAACTGCGTTTTGTGGGGGGCAGCAGGGAGCAGGGAGCAGGGACATCGCTCGGCCGCTGATAAGAATGCTCTCAAAAAGAATCTTATGGCCAACAGCTTGGGGACCAAAACAACTACCGACAGAAGCAAAAACAATTTTCTGCCCAAATCGAATGACAACAATTTGATCAGCGACTTTAGGGCAGATCTCAAGGGAAAAGTGGCCGCCTAGATCTCGAGTTTGGTGTCATCCCTGACGTAACTTCGCCGATCTTCATCGGTACATCTGGCCTCATTTAAACAGCAGCCACTAAAAGAACAATTTGTTATATAAAAGGGATAAATGATTCTAACGTAATCGTCGCATAAGAACTTAACCGGAAGTGCAAGGATACCAGGACTACACCCAACGAATAGTTCTTGATCGTCACTCTCCATCGTTACCAAAACGGAATTCAATATTAAGTTTTACAGAGTACAATGCTAGTTATCATTTTAGTTTTTACGAGTAGGCATGGGACATACATATGTAGATATGTATGTATGTACTTATTCCCTACATATGATATGTATCTCTAGTGGAGGTAGGCCCTACAAACTGGGACCATGCCTGTTATATCGAACAATACCACCGAACAAAAGTACACATGCCTGTGCGTACTTATTTGTGTAGATAACTATGGGAGCGATATGGGATCTGGTAAAAAGCAGCTGATCAAGAATATATGTATATCTTTTCTTCGGCCTCCTCGTCTTCCCCCATGACTTTTATGGATATTTAATTCCTGTGACCGTAATCGCGCTGCGCTTCATGACCAGTATTAGTACTGGTGATCGTGCGGGGCAAGCAATGGCGTCGTCGCCAATACCCATGAACTGATAGTCATTAGTGATGCGTATGGCGCTGCGACTTCGCTTCGGTGCCTCGGTGCCTCAGTGCAGGCTGTTATCGGAACACAACAGCCACGAGAAGAAGCAGCAGAAATGAAGCAACATCATCGTCGAGTCGACTACAGGAGAATATGCTTTAGTTTTGTTTGATGACACGTTTTGGTTTAGTGTTTTTCTATACCCTTGAAGAGGGCGAGGGTATTATGGAATTGATCCAATGTTTGTTACGCACATAAAAGCCTCTTCACCCCATTATATAGATATATATGTGCACATATGTGCTTAAACAACTCACAAAGATTTGGTCATAGGAACGATGGTCGGTCGGTTAGCATTTATGTTTATTTTTTATACAGCTCTAGCAGAAATTTCCGAACACTATACCTTTACAGAGGGTAATAATAATTAATTACCATATTTTTTCCGCGAAAAGAAAAACCATTCATTGCTAGAACAATTGTTTTGAATTTAAAGAAATTCCACGATCGGATGGGATTTTATGCATGGTGATAGTAGCATAGGAAGGCTAGGGCGAAAATAAGCTGTATTTTTTCGTATATAAGGAAATCGTATCAAAATCAGATGACCATATCACGAGAGAATTGCAGGGCATCACAAGATTCGGGCTTGCTTCCTAGTTTTTTTCTTGCGTGTTTTTTTATTGATGAGTACTTATCGAACTGTTCCAGTATCGGGCTATGACAAGGCCATAAACGTACTTGCTTGTGCATGTGTTTGTATTTTTGTGCCATTATCTGGCGGGGAATCCAGTGGATTGGATCGATCAATGGGAGTCGTTCGATAATGTCAAACACTAATACATACATACATACATACGTGTATATGCAGATAAGGGTGAAGCTATTAGTCTAGTACAGGGTAAAGAGAGCTTTTTAGGTAATTAGCATAGAGAACAGAACTGGTTCTGCAGTGAATAGAAGACATTAGAGAGTTTGAAAATAAATAAAAGCACGCCAGAAAATACATACATACATACGTAGTCGCACACACACACACACCCACACACACAAGAAGTAAAAGTCGCTGAAGCCGACGTTGATCACTTGATAAACAGTCGCTATTGCTGTCGCTGACGACGTCGACGTCGACGTCTCTATGAGCAGGAGCGGACCTGTAAACCCAAAGGGCAAACGGTATGTTAATTATGGGTGATGTGAATCCAAGAGAGCTTACGCTCGGCTCATGTGTGTTGTACATATGTACATACGTATGTGCTCTGCTGCCTCTCTCTCACACGCTAGCTGTGCCGTTTTAATTACATTGGAAAAAAGAGACAAGACGCATTATGCACAGGGCCAGGCCAGAGTGACCAACCAACCGCCAACCGGACGGACGGAGTAGAAGATGGACAAATGGCTGCCGAAAAGTGCGCGGTCAGCATGAGAGTTCATTTACACCTGGACAAGAGTGGCGGCGAGTGCAATAGTTGCTGTTGTTGTTGCTGTACCTGTTGTTCTTTTAATGTATTATTTTAAGCGCTGAGCGGTGTAAGAGTTGCGTACCTGTGCAGCTTGTAGATGAAGAGCACCAAGAATGATATGTATATAAGGGCCACAAAGACCAGGGGCAGCAGGAATGTGACTATCAGCGGCGTCAGGAAGCGATACAGCCACATCGAGTAATCCAGGTCGATGTAGGATGCTAAACGGTACATCGGAAGAGAAGCTTTGATTAGATGTGGGCTCTGGGATCGGTAGCAGCTCGGCCGGGCGGTAGATAATAGATAACTAGCTTGTACTCACACAACAGACTTTGAAGACTCTTGACTATATTCTCCAGAACTTCCATCTTTGCTTTTTGTTTAGTACTCTTCTTGACTCTGATTAAATTGAACGAAGTTCCTATGTTCGGTGAATGTTATAGTAGATGGGATGGCCTCTTCTGGCGAGGTTTCGTTTGTTATTATCGGGAATGGCCAATGGCCGATTGGCAGGTGGGAAAGCAAAATACATATATGTATTCGAATAAAGTTTTGGCCTAATTTTCACTTGAAGCTTTACTTTCTTTCTCTTTTGCGCTCCTCGAGTTCTGTTTTTGATTTCTGCTCATTTAAATCTGAATCAAAATTCTCGTTTCGTTGTCCCCTCTTCGGTTTCTGCTTGACGGTTATTTCGGTGGTTTGTTGCTGGATGGATTCCCATTTGGCGGCCCACTCTCATTTGCATTAACATTTGAGCCGCTTTATGTACATTTTATACACTCGACTCGAAATTGTCTCATTGCTAGGTTTCGTTTCTTTGCTGCTAACGGAGTTGGCCAAACGTAATCATTACCGTTTCCGCCTCAGTTTAATGACAACAGATGTCGTTCGCGGCCAGCCACATTGTGTTGAAGTAGTCGCCGTTGTGTGTTTCAGTTATTACTACTAAGTAGCGTTGTGCTTTATATATTGTTGTTCTCTCATTTTGTTTTTTGCTTTGCATTCATCCCTGGAACCTGGCAACGTTGCCCAGCTGTTCTGCAGCTGTCAGCGCTGCCAGCTTTTTAGCTTTGCGATGGAAGTCTACACGATAAATATTGTGAAAAAATGAATTATCTTGGATAATCTGAATCAGCTGTGAGTGGTGGAGAAATAAACAACCCGTGTTACACTGACACAAACATATCGTTGCGCGTGTCCTCAAGACTAGATTGGTCTTGAGGTGTGGAGGGATACAACCATAAAACAAATTTATCTACCCTGTGTCTCATGCTATCTTTGTCTTGCAGACTAGATTGGTCTTCAAGTGTAGTGATTTATCGATGCCGACCCCGTGATGTGACACTTGGGGCTCGTCACATATGGCAGCCCAAAAAACAAAACAAAAAAAAAAACGAGACAAAAAGGATATAAAACTAAAAATGTAGAATTATAATATTTTCAAGACTGATATTTTGAGAAATAAAACATATACTAATTTTTGGACTTTTATTGCACTGAAACTACCTCAGTACGCCCTAAAATACTTGAAATAATCATTTGTATATATAAGCGCTAACAATTTATTTACGTTGTTGTCGAGCACAAACAACGGATAAGAAGACTGTATCAGCGATAATTTGTTGATAAAATTCAGCTTTAGACGCCCTAGCAAACACCAAACAAAGCAACAAAGAGACTGACCTGAAATTGAAAACTCGTCGCGATTAAAACTCTGAGTACACTCCACAGTTCGTCACTGCCACTTGAGGACAACGGACGGTCGAGAGGTTCATCATCCATCCCAACTCCACCATCAGCATCATGTGCGTGATCTTTTTTTACGCCAATTCAGATCCCCAGCCCGGTGGCTACAGGCTCATCTTGGCTTCTAATCGCGATGAGTTCTTTGCCCGTAAAACCGTGAAGGCGAGCGAATGGCCCGACGCGGATCATGTCGTTGGCGGTAAGTGGTGCGGTGATGCACTTGCCTCTTGTATGCGCCTCTTGAATCTGAACCTCCAACGCTCCTTGCAGGCATTGATCTCGAACCGGGCCGCGAGGGCGGCACCTGGCTGGCCATTGGCAGCGCGAGTGGAGTCTTCAAAGTTGGGGCCCTGCTCAATCTCACAGGCGAGCCCAAGCCCCGCGATGCAGTCGGTAATCAAACACACCCCACACCACACCACACCACACGCACACATCATTGATTCATTTTGCTTTCGCCGAACTTTCACTGAACTTTTGCTTCAAACCTTTTTCTGTTTCCCGTTTGAAGCGCACAAGAACATTTTGCAACCAAATAACCAAAACAACCACAATAACAGCCACAGTCACAGCCACAGCCACAGCAGCAGCAACATGAGCAACAGCAAGAGGCCAGAAAATAACGATAACGAACATTTCTTACTAGGGCGCGGCATGATTGTGGCAGACTTTGTGTCCCAGTTCGATGAGCCAAACAGCATACTGAACTTCAACCAGAGCCTGCTTCAGGACTGCACCAAGTACAGCGCCTTCAACTTTGTCTCCATTGAGATTGGGTGAGTGTCGAATATCTGTTCGTATGATTGTATACGTATACCAGTCCCTCCCATCCCACCGTTTAGGCCAAAATCCCTGCCAGCCCAGATCAGACTGCTGAGTAATGTGCCGCCCACCCTGAACGACTTTGAGGAGGGAAAATGCTACGGCTTCGGCAACAGTCTGCCCGGGACTCCCTTCGAGAAGGTGCGCTTCGGCCAGCAGCAGTTCTCAGATATTGTAGAGGAGCATGGCACTGGCACAGTCGAAGCACTGAGCGCGCAGCTGCTGATGCTGCTCAAGAACAAGAAGAAATTCTGGCCCGATGCGGAGCTGAAGCGTCGCGCCCCCAACTGGGGCGAGGAATTGAGTGCGCTCAATGTCCACATTGGCGACCGCGGCTATGGCAGTCGTACGCATTCCATTATCCTGGTGGACACCAACAACAAGATGCATTTCTTTGAGGAAAATTTTGATCCCGAGATCAATTCGCTAGAGCCATGTAATCTACGGACGGTGGTCCACAAGCACTTGGGGGCGATCTAAATCTAGTAGTGGAAATGTATGTGTGTGCATTTTTGTTGCATTTGTTGGTGTGTTATGAATAATAATAATAATAATAATATCCATTTTGTCTCTGGAATATACATCGACAGTCCCGCACTTATATAAAGATCATACGAGTGTATATATTTAGATATTTAAGCAAATTAACAAGCGAAATCTTTTTCATCATATTAGCCTTATTATCAGCCCGTGCTGCCCTATACTGGCACTATCTATATAGTATCTTTACGATCCAGTTACTGCCGTGTTTTGCTCTACTTGTACCTCTTGCCTACTCGGCCGCCACTGGCACCGCCGACCTCGGCACCAGCTCCACGCAAAACATTCTTAAAATTGCGCGAGTTCATTGAACGTTTCCTGTTCCAAAGAGAGAGATAGGTAGATAGATCAATATAGAGAAGATAGAAGGTAGAGGGAGTGTCAGAGAGAGATAGGGATGGATGTGAAGGGAACCTACCGCTTGTTCAGAGTATTCCTGGTCAGAGGTATATAGGCATACGGATCCAGCTGGCCTCGCTTCTTCATGTCGCCCTTGGCCTTTTTGCTGCTGTACTCGCTGCCGGCTGGCTTGCCGGCAGCTTTGCCCGAGCGCATGGACATGGCATCCGCCCCCGGGGGAGGAGCACCGTTGCCGGTGCCCAATGGACGATGAATACCTTTGCCGCCGGCCGTGTATCGAGTGCTGGTGCTGGTCTTGGCGGAACGCGTGCTTAGGGCATCGCTGGCCTTGCGTTTGCGCTTGCCACTGAACAGTTGTTCCTGCTGTAGCTGCTCCTCGTCGCTAGAGTCCTCCTCCATGCCGCGCTTGGCCTTGCCACCTAATTGCTCGTGATCGCTGTCCATGGAGGAGTCCGAATCCGAGTCTTCATCGCAATCCTTTCCTCCTTGGCCGCGTAGAGCCTTGTCACTGATAATAAGACGTCCGTCGTCGGCAGTCTTGAAGCCCCCATTGGCCAGCTGGGGCCTGGCCTTAAGGCTCTTGCTGTGGCCATCTGTTTGGGCGGATCCGCTGGCTGCAGACGAGGGAAGCGATAAGTATTTGGTCCCACCGCTATGGGTGTTAACTTACTTAGCACGTTGCCAATGGACTTAAGATCGGCTAAATCGACTATCTCGTCGGGATCCTCGCGGATGTAGGTGCTGCGCTGCTGCTGCTGCTGCTGCTTGGACTTGATGCGTCGCTTGCCAACGACAGCGGCTGCTCCCTCTTCCTCTGCATCCATATCTTCAGGCAGATCCGAGTCCGAATCAGCCAAAATGTCATCAATGCTGGATAACAGAAGAGCAAGTTCTAAGCAATTTTAAATGAACACCGAAAGTCCTAGCAGATTAAGTAAATATATTTGAGAACACAAAGGTTCTTAAAAAAGGTTCTATTCTTCGCTCGGCTCTCCTTATAAAAGCTTCATGTTTTAGTTCCTTGAAAGTGCAAATTGGTATTGCCAAACGATCGAACTATGTCACAAACAGGAACTACCCCGAGCTAAAACCGATATATAGCTTACAGGTTGAGAGACTAGTCCGCATAGAAAAGGAGAGGCATCGACTAGGATCGACTAGGTTATCGACTGTTATAGACATACTCCTCTTGGGAGTATACATGCGTATAAGTGTTATTAGACGTTGATATGCAAGGACCCGCCGAAGTCGGTTGCGCGATTCTAGGAGGAAACGCAGACCGACCGAAGGACGCTGCCGCTTGGCGCACGACACACGATACATGTCACCGAACTGGTCATGTGTATGCAGGAAAGTTATATGTTAGACAAATGTTCGAGGAAAATATAGTGGACAGACAGAATGGACAGATGGACGAGATTCCCCTACAACGATAATTTGGCAGTTTTCTCCCCCTAATGCTTACGTATAGCTCTTCTGCTCCAGTCCTCCGACGAGCTCCTCGTCGGAGCTGTCCGCTTGAGCGGCCGCCTCCTCGCTCTGCTTCTTGCGTGTGTCGCGGCGCATCTGCTTGCGGATCTTCTTGAGGCGACGATGGGTGACTTCGTCGTCGCCGGGCACATAGCTGGCCAGCTCGTCGGTGCTGAAGCGCTTGCACAGCTTCTTGAGGAAGTAGCCGATCTGAATGCGGCAATACCGCTTCGTATCTTTTGTCATGGCCGACAGGGAGCGCATCTGTTGAGGAGGGGAGCCATTAAAGGAGGGTGGAACCAACACGGGGTGGGACATTAGGGACATACAATCGTTTCCAGATGGTTGGCCACTAGCGGGATGGGCATAACCTTGATGAATGTTATGAGGAAGGCGACAGCGGCCTCCGACTGATTGCGGGACTTTTGCACCAGGAACACCGACACCTGCTGCAGTATGAACTCGAGGGTGGCCACCGTCAGGTGCTGGCCCTGCTGCTGCAGCACTGCCCTGAAGGCGAGGATTGTGTTCGTGACTAGGGACTCGTCCCCGGCGAAGCCCGCTGTAAGGATGTCCATGAAATCATTGATTTTTCCTGCATCCTGGTACAGTTGGGCAATGAATTTGATCAGCTGCTCGGCCACCTGCTCTTTGCGCGTGGAGAACTCCTTGTAGTTGAGCACTGCCTCTGGGATGGCCTTCATGACGAGCTGGTCCGTGTGCGTGAGATTGCTACGGCATTCCAGCAGCGATTTCAGGCAGCTACAAGTGAGAAAAAGAGAAAAGCAATATACGATACAAGTGAAGGAGGCTCGGTTGAGGTGCGTCCCACTACACTTACTACAGTCGCGATGCCTGGCACACACTGCAGCTGGTGGCGAAGGCCTCCAGGAGCAACTGCTGCAGCGAATTGCAGTTCTTGCGCGTAAACTTCTGGCACGACACCTGCTCCGAGGTCATCAGCTCGCGAAGAAGCCTAGACGAAACAGTGGTGGGGGAAGGGGGGAGGAGGGGAGAGTAGAATTTACAATTTACAATTACAGCAATTACAATTCAAATTTGAATTCATCTTACTCGTAGGTCTTGCGCTGCTGCTTCTTGAGCTTCTGCTCGTCACGGGAGACCAGCTTCGACTTGTCGTTGCGCAGCACCGGAGCCATGTACTTCTCAAAGTATGATTCGATGCCGCGGCACTTCTGCACCCGGACAATGGCCGCGTTAATGTCGAACATTGCGTCATACTCAAAGCTGGCCACGGCACTGAGAGCCAACTGGCTCTGGGCGCTCTCGAAGAGCTCCGCCTGCACCTCGGCCGAAGCCCGGGCAATGTACAGCCGAATCACTTCCAGGGCCCGCTTGCGCTGATCACCCTCATAGGAGCCGGTCGGCTTCTGGGAGTATATGTTGAACAGACGCGGCAGAAAGTTCTTCGCGTACAGCCCGATGGCCGTGTGACAGCTCTCGCTCTGGCTGTCGCCAAGCAGCTCCAGCAGACCATCAAAGATGGGGGCTCGGAACTCGGGATTCTTCTGCAGCACGGAGCCGAGGGTGGGGGCCAGATGGCGTAGGTACTCGGGATCCCGCGGCTGGCGGCAGAAGCCCGGGAAGAGGCCCCACAGCTGGCAACACAGCAGCTCGTATATGTGGGACGATGAGGTGTTCTCGGCGACGGCGAACTCTTTCCACTTGCCCTGGCAGTCCGTGGCTAGGGGCACAATGTGCTCCTTGAAGAACTGCAAGCTCGCTCCGTTTGCCCCCTCGCGCAGGAGTGGCAGTAGCCAGGAACGCTCCAGCTGCATGCCCCCTCTCCCATCGGCGAGGGGAACAGCTGTGAGGACCAGCTCGGGTCCCAATGCCTTGATGGCACTGATCAGGGTGTGCTCAATCTGCAGCCGCATGCTGCTTTGGCTGTCGTACCGCTTGGCGATGGTCAGCAGCGATGGCGTTAGCTCAGTGCTGGAAAGCAGACCGGAAAACAGAAAGGAAAAGGAACAGAAGATATAAATCTCAATTAAAACTCAAGGAGAATGCTTTTCAGGAATGAACTCACGCAAAGTGCTTGCCACAGGCCTCGAAAACAATGGAGAAGATGAGGATGACGTATTTGGAGATTTCTCCAAACGGAGCACTCAGAACCTTGTGAAGTGCCGAAATGATTCGGGCCACGCTCTGGCGATTTCGCTGAGCGTCTTCGGGCGCCGCGCAGGCATGCGACACGCAGTCCTGCAGCAGTTCCTTGATGCAGTTGGAGACGCCAACGACGAGCTCTGTGCGCTCCGAGAGCCACAGGTCTGTAGTGCACACCTCGAAGAGGCGGGGCAGGGCTTGCATGCACAGGTCTAACCGCAACGTGGCCAAATGCAGGTGACCCTCCTTAAGGACCGTGATCCATGTAAGCGTCTGACGGACATCCGAGCGATCCGGCCGATATTCATGGATGGCGGCCAACAGCTTTGCACAGAGTGTGGCATTCAGGTTGGCGCTGCGCGTGAGAAACAGGGCATGCAGCGCCTGGAAGCAATTGGTGCGGACCAGAAAATTCGCTGCCGTCATAATGGACAGCAGGTGTTCGCACACCGCGCGTATCTCCTCTGTGCGGAACCCCGACAAGGTGTCCTTGAGCAGGGCTAGTGTGTGGAGTACCGTCGTCTGGGCGTTGACCAGCACCTCGGGCTTAAATTGGGCCAAACAGAACTTGGTCACACGACCGCTCGCTGGATGGTGATTCACTTTGGGCTGCTGCTGCTTCTGGTCCTCTTCCACTGCCGTATTCTCTTCACCTTCTTGACCCCCTGTGGGTGGCGCAGGTTGGGGAAGCATGAAGCAGCTGCCGTGTATGATTGCCACAACCGCGTGCTGGGCAGCTTTGCGTATTTTCGGCTTGGCGTGAATTGTGAACGCGAGCAAAGCGTCAAAGTACTGCGTGGTGGAGCTGTAGGTCCAAGTGGCGTAGTCCTGGGCCCGCAACAGCACTGACATGCATCCGATAAGCTGTAAGAGAGACAGAGAGAACCAAGAGAAAAGGATTATATGTATAATCTACAAGGCCAGAGACGCTTTAAGTGCTAGTAGGGGAAGCTACTTGCATAACGGATAACCGATTGGTTTGTGGATTCCATGAAGCGTTTAAGGAGCTTCTGAGCGGTGGCGGCCGTTTGGCTGAAACGTTTTCGCAGTACCGGAGCCGGGACAGACTTGATGCCCATGGAGAGCAGCGCGATGCCGGCAATGGTGTCCCGCTCCTCGGTGGAGGCTTCGATTTGCTCCATAAGAAGCAGAAAGTACTCAGTGGAAGACTCACTGCCGCCATTCTCGCGTATAACGTCAGTGAGGGCACTCAGTATGGCCAGCATTTCCTTGTGCAGAGCGGATGAGGCCCGGAAGCCGGTGAGGAGCTTCTTAAAGCTCACGTTGCTGCAGCTGCTGTAGTTGGAGGCGAATGTCTTGAAGGTCTTGAATGTTCCTGTGGGCTGTGTGCCCGTGCCGGACATGCCATCGTCGTCGTCCAGAGTGAAGCTCATTAAGCTGCCTGCCACATCGTTAACTGTTGTTGTCTCCGCGTTGTACGCCTGACGCTGTTCGTGCTTGTGCACTGCCTCCAATGTGAGGCCGTTTGGTGCTGGAGCGGAGGCTGTAGAGGAATTCAGGTTAGGGACAGGCAGGACAGTGTTTCAATAACAACCGGTTGCACATACCCAGACTTAAATTTGGCTGAAAGAAACGCGACTTTGCTTTGAGGCGATGCTTCATCTGCTCCGGGTTGGATTTGGCCGACTCTCCTTTGCGCCATGTCTTACCCTTGCCATGGCGTTTCAATTTCGATCGAAATTTACCCATGGTTATCAAAAATCTATAAAATAAAGCCCGTAAATTGAACTAACGAACCCAACCAAACACGTGCAATGCAGTGTGACTGCAGTGATAAAATATACCAGTCTGAACAGCAAAAATATACCGTCTCATTTTAAAAATATACCGTAAATATACTGACGAATGCAAGTTATGCCATGTATCGGATACCGATATGTCGTTAAGCCATGGAGCAGCCAGCATATCAAAATACAGTTTTATCTCATATCCTATCCATTTAAGAAAAGCCTTATCCACATATTAATTATTGAGTATCAATCGATACATTTTTTGGAATATATATGTATATTCCTGTGCGCTTGCCAGCCCTGCCAGAATACAACAGTCTGGCAGCCTTGTGCAACCAGTTGAATGCAAAAGAAATAGAAGAAGCAGGGCCCGAAAATAGTGCGCAAAATAGATTGTTTTTTTATGTGTATATGTGACATTGTTAAACAATTTCGAAGAAAAGCGGCAAATACGAGTGATATTGTGTTTTATTGTGCAGTGTATACGTCCAAAGACAGAAAAAATCACTGTTCGAAAGGAAACCCTACCAATGCATATGAACGTTGACACATGAACATACGGAGAGGCATATGTATAGGCACACAATCGTGCAGAGAAACGGGAAACTCGGTGATTGTTGTGAGTGTGTAAGTGTGCGAAGAGAAGCCAACCAAGCCTGGAATAGTAAAATTGATAAAACAAAACGCGGGCCTGCGCCAACGACCAATTTTGCGTCAGCAGCAGCTCAAGGAATCGGAGAACTAGCAGGCAGGAGTGGACGGAGGAGGCGGCAGAGACTAAGAAGAAACCTCAAGGCGCACCACCAGAGCGAGAGAGAGAGAGCGCGAGAGTGAGAGAGACAAAACACAATTGTTGTTGCTAAAAATAGCAACAAATAGACAAACCCTGTGCCATCGTTGACGCAGACCAGGCGCTTCTACGTAGTACCTTAATTTCGATTTGGCTTCCACTTGGCGGTGGGGACAGTGTGTGTTACCGTTAGCCTGCGAGTAGTGACAAGGCGCAAACTTGCAATCCGCTTACCGCACGCTCTCTCAATAACAACAATCAAAAAATGCTTTTGAAATTCACAAAAACCAGTGGAGCTGGCAATGCTGGACCGGGCTCTGTGGCGGGTTCCAGTTCATCCTCAATGCAAACGACCACGTCGTATGCCGCTCGCGGAACAGGTTTGTGCCTTCAATCCTCCTATCTTTTCGTCTTACAAAATTGAGTAGATACAATTTGTTTGTTTCTTATATGTAGTCTCTGTTTTTGTTTATTTTTATATGTATGTGTGTAGCTGTATGGTAGTGGACAAACAAAAATATAACTCCAACCCAAAATTTACAAGTTGTCTGATAATACATGAAGCCATCTGATCTTCTTTCTATAAAAATGTGCGTTAGATTGATTTTAATTTACGTTCACCCAACCTGCCCACCCGCCCCTTTTCGATATGTAACCATGAATCGAAAGTATTTCATGTTTTGCCCCCACAAACATTGCGACATTGAGAGGCGAAAGGCACGTGTACGCAACACACATGCCCACATACTCATATGTATGTACATTCATATCAACATATGTATGTATGCATGTATGTAGATATGTATGCTAACAGATATTTATACACAAACACGCACACTTTATTGTCCGTAAGTACTGGCTAAACGAGCCAGCAGCTCCAAGAGCGCAGGGGTGGGTATATTGAATTCCTGTATACATATATATACAGAAACTGAATACCGGTTAGTATAATGTTGCGGCACGTGTTCCGCGACTCGCAACGTCAGGACTGGTTTTGAATATACCTGGTTTTTGATATATACATATGTAGAATAAATAGAGCAATGAATGGAACGTGGTCATGTATTTGTTGGGGGGCTGACTAATTTAAATAGTTCATATTTGATCACGGATGTACTATATACATAAATATCTAGATACATGATGGCTTGGCTCATTTAGATCCAGTCAGGCCAGGGTGCTCCCTTGTTTAGCCAGTACTTAATGCTCACTCTCCAAGGCAAAACAGTGAGCATGGGTTCATTGGGCTCCTGCTTCTGTTTGTTTCATTCAATTCCAATGTTCAATGCTACACGTGGCAACAACAGCAACATAGATGATAACTGTTGCTGCATATACAGTTGAAGACACACACACATACATACATATCTACATATGTATGTGTGTACTCGTAAATGGCCCCAATCGTTTACTGCGTTCCTTTTCGCTGTTTGCTCAGTATTTCATTTCTCGGCTCCTTCGGAAGGCACTTCCACTGTCTCCACCAATTCCGCTATCCCGAGCCATTTGTTTGCTCCGTCTAATTCTCATTATAGAATTAAATGTTTGCCCCTTCCATTCAGGTACATATGTACACATGTACACATGTACATACATATGTACATACTCACGAGTATGCCACCGGGATGTCACCTGGGCAGGTGGCGAAACGGGTGGCGAGCTTCCATTTGCATATTCCCCTATTGCAGGGCACAAAGTGTAAAGAGTGTGTCCTACTGTGCTTATCTAAGCTTGTCATCACACATAGTTTGTATATGTACATATGTGCAGGTACTAACGGTAATTCTGGACATGGTTTCTGCAATAGCTTCTCCATACCACTTCCCAAATATGATTTAGATCGGACAGTTTAAATCGAAACCGTATACTTCAGCCCCCAGGACGGATCCATATGCATGGACCCACAGACTATGTTTGCATTTATGCACATAGGAATTTCCATGGAAGGGACTACTGAGACCAACAAATTAAATGTTAATACAAACACATATCCGTATATGCACGCACGTTATGTCAATATTATTTTCTAGATTGATTGAAACTTACCGAATTTAACCAATTGACATACCTTTCATGTGAAATCCTATTAAATCCTAATAAGAGATATACATACCTAGTTAATTTTTAATTTTTGAGGTATTTTTTTGTATTCTTTAGACTTAGTCAGGTTCTTCTCTATTATTATTATTATTATTATTATTAGTAAGACAGACGATTCTTGATGAAAGTTCCACCACAAAGACTCTCCTACATATTTAACTGTCTAAAAAAAAATCGCAATCTTTTAACTTCTATAAAGTTTTTGGTCCCGTGCCACAGAGGCTAAATCAAATTAAAAAAAAAAAAAAAAACTACAGATTCAAATCATATTTGCGTGAAATTAAAACCATTATAAAGGGACATCTATGCAAAAGATTTATCAGAAATTCGCATCAATATATTGCCTCTACTTTCGCCGAAATCCGGGTTTGAATTGATCGCCGCAAGACCACGTATATTTTTGTCCCTTGCGACTGTCTTGGTATTTTTCGCAAAAATCTCGGAAAAGAATAGTTGCCCAAAATCGACATATTATAGGGCTGATCAAAGGGCTTCTTTATAATGGAAAATCTTTATAATTTCGAAAATCCGTCTTATTCGGACTTTTTTATACCCGATACTCAAAGAGTATCTGTCTGTCTGTTAATTGCATTGGAAGTCTCGTGACTAGAATTGAGTCAGCAATTGTTTTGTTCGCCCTCGCTCTCTCCCCCCTACCCACTCCACACTCAAGTTGGTTAATTTAATACAATTTTCTGCTCTCTAGATTAGTTAATGATCATCGTTGTTGCTGTTGCTTTTGTTGCTATTCAGCGTTCGGGCTGTTTTGGTATTCAAAGCCCGACGGCGACAATCGACGGCAATCGACGGCAACGACGACGACGACGACTTGAATAATTTCAAGTTAGTTAATCAATTTAATTATGTATGAAAATCGTTTTATTTGCTATTGTTGATGCGACAATATTATAGTTTACTCGTGTCCCCCCTCCCCTCTGCCAACACACACTCTCCTCTACACTATACACCATATGTACATATGTATATGTATGTACATATGTATGTATGTACCATTGTTCGCCCAGTGTGTGCTAGTGTTAGAGTTGTTGTTGTGGTGTGGGGCGGGGCAGTGCCTGGTATTAAATTGAAAAAATAATGAATGGCAGCGCCAGTCCAAGTCTATACTGCAAATAAGCTACATACGACATTCCGATGCCGATTCCGATGCCGATGCCGATGCCGATTCCGATGCAGCGATATACATATGTACACCCATATGTATGCATGTATGCATGTTGTAGCCTCTATTGATGAGCGCCAGCAAAACATCACCACCAATACATCAACAGGTTTGTAGACTTTTCGGCATGTGGGATGTGTTCGTACAGAAAGAGATCGGAGAGAGTGGCTGCCATAGGGTTGTTCTACCCGAAGAGCGGGGACCTTATCTCTCATTGAATGTATTGTACCTTTGTACATGTGTATGCATGTGTGTACTTTGCGCTCACTTCTGCTCTCCGTCTTCGTCTTCGACTACCTCTACCTCTACCTCTCCCTCTCCCTCTCCCTCTCCTTCTCCTTCTTTGTCTCATTGCTTCGTGCTGATGAGGTTGGCTTTCCCACAAAAAAGTTTCAACTTGAATCTCTCTTCTGTTCTACCCCTGGCTCTACTCTTCTCTCTTGTTTTGATCTCTTGCCTTTTTTTGTTTTTGTTTTTTTGCGAGCCCACCTCAATTTGTTTGTTGTTGCGCTGTCACCCCAAAGCCACGTGTTTTTTTTTTATTATTTTGAGTGTGTGTGTGTGTGTGTGTGTGTGTGTGTGTGTGTGTGTGTGTGTTTGTGTGTCGAGTGCGCCTGTTCAGCCCCTCGGTACTACTTTGCTGCCGACATCCCCGGCTGGCTGCCCCCGTCGATGCACGATTCAAATGTGTCTCGCGTTCAAAACAAAATGATTAAATTCGTTGCCTGTGCCCCTGCCTGTGCTTCTTCCATTTCGATTTCCGTTAATGGATATTTAAGCAAAGGGTACATTAATATGAGGTGAGGGGTTGTTTAGTTTTCTGTCTTCGCAGCATTATGCCTGACCGTGAATAAATGCCCCTCGAGACTATCCCTAGTCGACTAGTCGA